TAGACTAGACTATAGACTAGACTATAGACTAGACTATAGACTAGAATATAGACTAGACTATAGACTAGACTATAGACTAGACTATAGACTAGACTATAGACTAGACTATAGACTAGACTATAGACTAGACTATAGACTAGACTATAGACTAGACTATAGACTAGACTATAGACTAGACTATAGACTAGACTATAGACTAGACTATAGACTAGACTATAGACTAGACTATAGACTAGACTATAGTCTATAGACTAGACTATAGTCTATAGACTAGACTATAGACTAGACTATAGACTAGACTATAGACTAGAATAGACTAGACTATAGACTAGACTATAGACTAGACTATAGACTAGACTATAGACTAGACTATAGACTAGACTATAGACTAGACTATAGACTAGACTATAGACTAGACTATAGACTAGACTATAGACTAGACTATAGACTAGACTAGAATAGACTAGACTATAGACTAGACTATAGACTAGACTATAGACTAGACTATAGACTAGACTATAGACTAGACTATAGACTAGACTATAGACTATAGACTAGACTATAGACTAGACTATAGACTAGACTATAGACTAGACTATAGACTAGACTATAGACTAGACTATAGACTAGACTATAGACTAGACTATAGACTAGACTATAGACTAGACTATAGACTAGACTATAGACTAGACTATAGACTAGACTATAGACTAGACTATAGACTAGACTAGACTAGACTATAGACTAGACTATAGACTAGACTATAGACTAGACTATAGACTAGACTATAGACTAGACTATAGACTAGACTATAGACTAGACTATAGACTAGACTATAGACTAGACTATAGACTAGACTATAGACTAGACTATAGACTAGACTATAGACTAGACTATAGACTAGACTATAGACTAGACTATAGACTAGACTATAGACTAGACTATAGACTAGACTATAGACTAGACTATAGACTAGACTATAGACTAGACTATAGACTATTACAAATTTTTTTTCTGAAATAAAGTTAAACTTTTTTTGGTTTGAAATAATTAACTTTATTTACATAATTAAAAATTTCAAAGTAAATATCAACAAATCATCGAAAATAATTACAAATTTTATTTATTTTCTTATAAATTTAATGTTTTCCATTAGAACTCATTTTTATTTTTCCAATTCTTAATTGAAGGAAATATACTTTCAACTTGAAAGAAAAATAATAATGTTTCGTTATTGTATATATAATTTTAAATAGTTTATTTACTTTTCTATTAAATTTTTTTATTATTTTACTTTGTGTATTATTCTACTTTTGAGTTCTTACTTTGTTAGCACATGCTTTAAATTAACATAGAGATAAATAATACATGAACTCATATTCATATATCGATCAGATCAGAGATTCTGTTTTCTTTCAGCCCCCTCAAATTTTATGTTTATTTAATTAATTAGATATTAAGTGTTAAATGGATTGTATGATATATCATAAAGGTATTAACGGGAAGTTAATAGGGAATATATGGTGTTTTATAGTTATAAAATTTTGGCAGATGAAATATTTATTTACATAAGTTTTTTGCGAATTTAATAGTAAATTGTTTGCTTTTAAAACGTAATTGTAATGGAAATCTTTTCCATAATTTACTTCATATTTGGTCTAAAGTTTCTCTTATATTTTAGTTTACTGCTTGGTCTGTGTATATCTAGTCGCTGGTTGTATGTCTAGTCGATTGCCTAATCTATAGTCTTGTCTGCAGTTTAGTCTGTAGTCTAAACTATAGTCTGGTCTGTAATGTGGTCTATAGTCTGGTCTGTAGTCTGGTCTATAGTCTAGTCTGTAGTCTGGTCTATAGTCTAAACTATAGTCTTGTCTGTAAACTAGTCTATAGTCTAGTCTATAGTCTAGTCTATAGTCTAGTCTATAGTCTAGTCTATAGTCTAGTCTATAGTCTAGTCTATAGTCTAGTCTATAGTCTAGTCTATAGTCTAGTCTATAGTCTAGTCTATAGTCTAGTCTATAGTCTAGTCTATAGTCTAGTCTATAGTCTAGTCTATAGTCTAGTCTATAGTCTAGTCTATAGTCTAGTCTATAGTCTAGACTATAGTCTAGTCTATAGTCTAGACTATAGTCTAGTCTATAGTCTAGACTATAGTCTAGTCTATAGTCTAGTCTATAGTCTAGCCTATAGTCTAGTCTATAGTCTAGTCTATAGTCTAGCCTATAGTCTAGTCTATAGTCTAGTCTATAGTCTTGTCTATAGTCTAGTCTATAGTCTAGTCTATAGTCTAGTCTATAGTCTAGTCTATAGTCTAGTCTATAGTCTAGTCTATAGTCTAGTCTATAGTCTAGTCTATAGTCTAGTCTATAGTCTAGTCAATAGTCTAGTCTATAGTCTAGTCAATAGTCTAGTCTATAGTCTAGTCTATAATCTAGTCTATAGTCTAGTCTATAGTCTAGTCTATAGTCTAGTCTATAGTAGAGTATATAATCTAGTCTATAGTCTAGTCTATAGTGTAGTCTATAGTCTAGTCTATAGTGTAGTCTATAGTCTAGTCTATAGTCTAGTCTATAGTCTAGTCTATAGTCTAGTCTATAGTCTAGTCTATAGTCTTGTCTATAGTCTAGTCTATAGTCTAGTCTATAGTCTACAGTCTAGTCTATAGTCTAGTCTATAGTCTAGTCTATAGTCTAGTCTATAGTCTAGTCTATAGTCTAGTCTATAGTCTAGTCTATAGTCTAATCTAGTCTAGTCTAGTCTAGTCTAGTCTAGTCTATAGTCTAGTCTAGTCTAGTCTATAGTCTAGTCTAGTCTAGTCTAGTCTATAGTCTAGTCTAGTCTATAGTCTAGTCTAGTCTAGTCTAGTCTATAGTCTAGTCTATCTAGTCTATAGTCTAGTCTAGTCTATAGTCTAGTCTATAGTCTAGTCTAGTCTATAGTCTAGTCTATAGTCTAGTCTAGTCTATAGTCTAGTCTATAGTCTAGTCTATAGTCTAGTCTATAGTCTAGTCTATAGTCTAGTCTATAGTCTAGTCTATAGTCTAGTCTATAGTCTAGTCTATAGTCTAGTCTATAGTCTAGTCTATAGTCTAGTCTATAGTCTAGTCTATAGTCTAGTCTATAGTCTAGTCTATAGTCTAGTCTATAGTCTAGTCTATAGTCTAGTCTATAGTCTAGTCTATAGTCTAGTCTATAGTCTGGTCTATAGTCTAGTCTATAGTCTAGTCTATAGTCTAGTCTATAGTCTAGTCTATAGTCTAGTCTATAGTCTAGTCTATAGTCTAGTCTATAGTCTAGTCTATAGTCTAGTCTATAGTCTAGTCTATAGTCTAGTCTATAGTCTAGTCTATAGTCTAGTCTATAGTCTATTCTATAGTCTAGTCTATAGTCTAGTCTATAGTCTAGTCTATAGTCTAGTCTATAGTCTAGTCTATAGTCTAGTCTATAGTCTAATCTATAGTCTAGTCTATAGTCTTGTCTATAGTCTAGTCTATAGTCTAGTCTATAGTCTAGTCTATAGTCTAGTCTAGTCTATAGTCTAGTCTATAGTCTAGTCTATAGTCTAGTCTATAGTCTAGTCTATAGTCTAGTCTATAGTCTAGTCTATAGTCTAGTCTATAGTCTAGTCTATAGTCTAGTCTATAGTCTAGTCTATAGTCTAGTCTATAGTCTAGTCTATAGTCTAGTCTATAGTCTAGTCTATAGTCTAGTCTATAGTCTAGTCTATAGTCTAGTCTATAGTCTAGTCTATAGTCTACTCTATAGTCTAGTCTATAGTCTACTCTATAGTCCAGTCTATAGACTAGTTTATAGACGATTTTTATAGATAAATTGTTTCAAAATTAATGAAATTGGGAAACATAAATTGTAATTTACGATTTTTGTTTTTAATTCTTACAGGTTTTTTAAAAAGTATTTGAAAGTATTTAGTAAATTTTTAAAATTTATGACCTTTTTATAAACTGCCCATTAAATTCCAAAATAAAATTTAATTTTATTTGTTAATGACTTATTTGTTTTTCCATGGAAAAGGCAACATTTTAAATAAGAAAAGAAATAAAAATGTTAAAATTTTATTGAAAATAAACTTAAAATAATCAAGCGTTGAAAAAACTAAAACACTATAATTTACAGCAAATAATATTTTATTAAAAATGTGGAGGTGGAAAAATATATGGAATTTTTATTTTTGATTTGTGTTTTTTTTTTGAATGAAAATAAGTGCTAAAGATTTAGCTGTTGATGAGAATGATGATTAGATTAGAAGGTATTTGGAAATTTGATTGATAGTCTGGTGAAAAACGGAGGTCAATAAATCATGAGAAGGTGATTTTTTTTAAATGATTCAAAGTTTAATTTTAATTTTAAATTTTATTTCGAAAATCACTTCTTGAGTTATGAATTTCTTTTCAAATACTTACATTCTTTTGCTAAAAGCGAGGAGCAGCAACAATCCTTGACTTCTTCGTAAAAGAAACAGGAACCCACAGAGGTTTTATATATCTTCTCGCCCACATAGCAAATATGAGGAACAAAAGGTAGACCCTCTGGAAAGAAAAACAAAATAAGACAACAGATTTTAGACAATTGACGATACTATAGCTTACATTACAGACTAGATTATAGATTAGATTATGGACACGGTTATTATAGACTAGACTATAGACCGTACTATGGAATAAACTATACACTAGAATATAGACTGAACTATAGATTATACTATAGACTAGAGTATAGACTTGACTATAGAGTAGACCATAGACTAGACTATATACTTGACTACAGACTAGACTATAGACTAGACTATAGACTAGACTATAGACTAGACTATAGACTAGACTATAGACTAGACTATAGACTAGACTATAGACTAGACTATAGACTAGACTATAGACTAGACTATAGACTAGACTATAGACTAGACTATAGACTAGACTATAGACTAGACTATAGACTAGACTATAGACTAGACTATAGACTAGACAATAGACTAGACTATAGACTAGACTATAGACTAGACTATAGACTAGACTATAGACTAGACTATATACTTGACTACAGACTAGACCATAGACTAGACCCTAGAATAGACTGTAGACTAGACTATAGACTAGACTATAGACTAGACTATAGACTAGACTATAGACTAGACTATAGACTAGAGTATAGACTAGACTATAGACTAGACTATAGACTAGACTATAGACTAGACTATAGACTAGACTATAGACTAGACTATAGACTAGACTATAGACTAGACTATAGACTAGACTATAGACTAGACTATAGACTAGACTATAGACTAGACTATAGACTAGACTATAGACTAGACTAGAGACTAGACTATAGACTAGACTATAGACTAGACTATAGACTAGACTATAGCCTATACTATACACTAGACTATAGCCTAGACTATAGCCTAGACTATAGCCTAGACTATATACTAGACTATAGACTAGACTATAGACTATACTATAGACTAGACTATAGACTAGACTATAGACTAGACTGTAGACTAGACTATAGACTAGACTATAGACTAGACTATAGACTAGACTATAGACTAGACTATAGACTAGACTATAGACTAGACTATAGACTAGACTATAGACTAGACTATAGACTAGACTATAGGCTAGACTATAGACTAAACTATAGACTAGACTATAGACTAGACTATAGACTAGACTATAGACTAGACTATAGACTAGACTATAGACTAGACTATAGACTAAAATATAGACTGGACTAAAGAATAGACTATAGACTAGACTATATAGTCTATAGACTAGACTATAGACTAGACTATAGACTAGACTATAGACTAGACTATAGACTAGACTATAGACTAGACTATAGACTAAAATATAGACTAGACTATAGACTAGACTATAGACTAGACTATAGACTAGACTATAGACTAGACTATAGACTAGACTATAGACTAGACTATAGACTAGACTATAGACTAGACTATAGACTAGACTATAGACTAGACTATAGACTAGACTATAGACTAGACTATAGACTAGACTATAGACTAGACTATAGACTAGACTATAGACTAGACTATAGACTAGACTATAGACTAGACTATAGACTAGACTATAGACTAGACTATAGACTAGACTATAGACTAGACTATAGACTAGACTATAGACTAGACTATAGACTAGACTATAGACTAGACTATAGACTAGACTATAGACTAGACTATAGACTAGACTATAGACTAGACTATAGCCTATACTATAGACTAGACTATAGCCTAGACTATAGACTAGACTATAGACTAGACTGTAGCCTATACTATAGACTAGACTATAGCCTAGACTATAGCCTAGACTATAGCCTAGACTATAGCCTAGACTATAGACTAGACTATAGACTAGACTATAGACTAGACTATAGACTAGACTATAGACTAGACTATAGACTAGACTATAGACTAGACTATAGACTAGACTATAGACTAGACTATAGACTAGACTATAGACTAGACTATAGACTAGACTAGACTATAGACTAGACTATAGACTAGACTATAGACTAGACTATAGACTAGACTGTAGACTAGACTATAGACTATAGACTAGACTATAGACTATAGACTAGACTATAGACTAGACTATAGACTAGACTATAGACTAGACTATAGACTAGACTATAGACTAGACTATAGACTAGACTATAGGCTAGACTATAGACTAAACTATAGACTAGACTAGACTAGACTATAGACTAGACTATACTATAGACTAGACTATAGACTAGACTATAGACTAAAATATAGACTAGACTATAGACTGGACTAAAGACTACACTATAGACTAGACTATAATCTAGACTATAGACTATACTATAGACTAGACATAGACTAGACTAAGTCTAGACTATAGACTAGACTATAGACTAGACTATAGACTAGACTATAGACTAGACTATAGACTAGACTATAGACTAAACTATATACTAGACTATAGACTAGACTATAGACTGGTCTATTGACTAGACTATGAACTAGACTGTAGAAAAGAATAAATACTATACCATAGCCTACAACAGATTTAAGAAAAATTACAAAATATTCTTAATACAAAAACCGCAAATTCCCTCTCTAAATGTATTAATTCTTTAAACAAACGCAATTTATTGACTTTTCGGGCAAAACTGATTAATTGCTATTAAACTGAATATCACAATGTATTTAAATTTCTTAATAAAGTATTTTGGCATTAAAAGCTAAACACTAATAATATTTTTAAAAATTTCGTAAAAGGTCGTTCGAAAATCTAGCAGCCATCTGCATCATTTCTTTTCACAAAATATGTATTTATTTTTACTGTATTTGTTCTTGTTGCTATTATTGCTGTTATTTACAGTTTCCAGTGTAAATAAATTCTCTATTGAGGTTTGTTGTTTTTGTAGATTTAGTTTTCATTTTGTTTTGATTATTACAACAACAATATTATAAATATGGTCAATGCAAGTAACGGACTAGATATAAGTACTCTTGCACTTACTGAATGATTACAACTGCAGACACAGCTACCGGCAAATATATAAGTAAATATGTAGAAAGAGTCTCATGGTGGCCAAAGACATGGTCCCCAAAATACGAAATTTTAATTTATCATTTTTTTGTGTTGAAACCAAAAAGAAACTATACTTTTTACATTTTCTTAATTAAATATCAAAATTTGAGTCCTTACGACGGTCGCTTATCGTCAGCAGCTAAAATTGTAGTTTAATTTTTATATTGGCCAAAATAGACAAAAAAAAAAAAAAAAAAAATAAATCAAAAATATCGTAAATATTTTTATGAAGTCATTTTATGATCCATTATTATATGTACTTGTTTTCAGTATGAATTTTTTATAAACAATATGTGTACTGTGGTTAACAGTGAAACACAAAAGTGAAGAAAGCTATAGACGAGTTTATATACTAAACTATAGAACATACTTTAGACAATAAACTAGACTATAGACTAGACTATAAACCAGACTACAGATTACTATAGATTAGAACATAGATAATTACACTAGAACTATAGACTAGACTATTGACTAGACTACAGACTAGACTATAGCCTATACTATTGGCCAAACTACAGACTAGACTAGATTAAAGACTAGACTAAAGACTATAATCTAGACTAAAGTCTAGTCTATAGTCTTGTCCACTCTATAGTCTAGTCTAGACTAGACTATAGACTAGACTATAGACTAGACTATAGACTAGACTATAGACTAGACTATAGACTAGAATATAGACTAGACTATAGACTAGACTATAGACTAGACTATAGACTAGACTATAGACTAGACTATTGACTAGACTATAGACTAGACTATAGACTAGACTATAGACTAGACTATAGACTAGACTATTGACTAGACTATAGACTAGACTATAGACTAGACTATAGACTAGACTATAGACTAGACTATAGACTAGACTATAGACTAGACTATAGACTAGACTATAGACTAGACTATAGACTAGACTATAGACTAGACTATAGACTAGACTATAGACTAGACTATAGACTAGACTATAGACTAGACTATAGACTAGACTATAGACTAGACTATAGACTAGACTATAGACTAGACTATAGACTAGACTATAGACTAGACTATAGACTAGACTATAGACTAGACTATAGACTAAACTATAGACTAGACTATAGACTAGACTATAGACTAGACTATAGACTAGACTATTGACTAGACTATAGACTAGACTATAGACTAGACTATAGACTAGACTATAGACTAGACTATAGACTAGACTATAGACTAGACTATAGACTAGACTATAGACTAGACTATAGACTAGACTATAGACTAGACTATAGACTAGACTATAGACTAGACTATAGACTAGACTATAGACTAGACTATAGACTAGACTATAGACTAGACTATAGACTAGACTATAGACTAGACTATAGACTAGACTATAGACTAGACTATAGACTAGACTATAGACTAGACTATAGACTAGACTATAGACTAGACTATAGACTAGACTATAGACTAGACTATAGACTAGACTATAGACTAGACTATATACTAGACTATAGACTAGACTATAGACTAGACTATAGACTAGACTATAGACTAGACTATAGACTAGACTATAGACTAGACTATAGACTAGACTATAGACTAGACTATAGACTAGACTATAGACTAGACTATAGACTAGACTATAGACTAGACTATAGACTAGACTATAGACTAGACTAGACTATAGACTAGACTATAGACTAGACTATAGACTAGACTATAGAATAGACTATAGACTAGACTATAGACTAGACTATAGCCTAGACTATAGCCTAGACTATAGACTAGACTATAGACTAGACTATAGACTAGACTATAGACTAGACTATAGACTAGACTATAGACTAGACTATAGACTAGACTATAGACTAGACTATAGACTAGACTATAGACTAGACTATAGACTAGACTATAGACTAAACTATAGACTAGACTATAGACTAGACTATAGACTAGACTATAGACTA